TGACACTTCGCGAGGTTCCCTTGTAAGACATACTGCGCGCACGTGCACATATACGTATACTTTGTCTTGCATCTTTGCAAAATTATTTTAATATAATTTTATAAAATATACATTTATCTTTTAATTTTTTAAAGTATTAGCAATTTTTAAACCAATTTTTGCAAATTATATATCAGAAGTAATAATATCATTGATTTGTTTTAATTGTTTAGAACTAATAACTAATATAATAAAGATCTTGCTATAATTTTTTTAGACTGTAAAGGCTTTTCTTCCAACGATGTTGGAGGGCAATAAAGGACATATTGTGAGTGTGGCCAGTTTAGCCGGTCAATGCGGAATTCCGAAATTGGTAGACTATTGTGCGTCCAAGTTTGCAGCAGTCGGATTTGATGAAGCCCTTCGAATGGAACTTGAGGTACTACAATTTATTCAACAAGCTATATATTGAATGGCAAAGAGGAGAGAATCATTCTAATATGTTATTCCAATTATTTTAATTATTTCTTTTAACCATAAATATTTTAAATATAAATATCACACAAAGAGAGAGAGAGAGAGAGAGAGAGAGAGAGAGAGAGAGAGAGCGAGAAAGAATTACAAAAGAAAATATAACATATAGATGCATACAATATTTAATTTTTCTAATTATTCTGCATGTAAAAAAATTAAAACAAATTATAAAAGTTAACATTCTAATCAATATTCTATGAGATATTTCACATTTTATTTTTGATATATATATATATATATATACATATATATATATATATATATATATTCCAAATTGGCAAAAGTTAATTCTAGATATGTCCATAGGATATATTTGAAGGAATCTTTTGATATCCAGAGTTTATCCTTAGAACCATAGGATATCATTGAGATATATTGAGGATAATGCACAAAAATAGTAATTATATAATCATTTTATTATATTATCTTTCAACTATACTTGATTTAAATAAGGATATTTTAAAAACTTGGATGATATGCTATGTGAAAGATATATATGTATATGAAAGGTCATATTTGTCTGCATACTATCAACTAATCGATAAACTCATTTTTAATCTATTCCGTTTTAGTACGAAGGATACGATATCAATACCACAGTTGTGTGTCCTTATTTCATTCGCAGTACCGGCATGTTCGAAGATGTTCAATCAAGGTAGATAATATTTTATGATATTTACAAATAATATAATAAATATACAAAATTGCTCAAATGTTCTGGAAATTTTAAAAAAATATTAGGAAGCATATTATTTAAAAATAAATATATTATTTGTGTTTTTCTAATAATATATAAATAAATATAAATAAATAATATAAATGTATATATAAATTAATATATAGGTGCGTGCGTGTGTGCGTGCGTGCATAAGTATGGTGTGTTTATAAATCTGTTTTTGTTATAAATATATTTTGTAATGCTGTAAAAATTTTTTTTCGTCTACTCGTCTTTTTTGAATATTAGATTACTTTTGATATTAGATCATCCTCTCTAAAAAAAAGTGCATGTAACGTCGATTACTCGCATTTCTCAAAGTTTATGATTATCGCTTTTCCACGAAGCATGCACGCACGCACGATTGGTTATCTCGCTGCGCTTACTCATGGACATAGGAATATAAGGGGGCAGAGCATAGAGTTTTTGGGGGGGGGAAGCCATTGCGGGACGGTGCGACGAGGTAAATATCTGCCTAAATTTGATTGGTCTGTTAGTTTGCGCAAGCACAATGATATAAGTTTTTGTGCCCGTGTGATACACACATATATTATATAATAGACCGAGTATCCCTTTGCTTTTGCTGTAGAGGGGGTGAACTGAGACCCAATAAGAGTGAACTCAACACAATCTCCCCCCGCATTTCGGCTTCACACCCCTCATCTAAGTTACGACTTTGTGCTCTGTCCCCTTATATTCCTATGTCCATGAGCTTACTTCGTGTTAGCAGCCATTGACGTAGGAATATATGGACGGTGCATAAACTGGTTAGAATGGCGAGGGGAGTAGTGATATTTGACGTAAGGGGATCACGTGGGATCAAACCACCGACTTCGGTACATTTCGGTTACGTTCAGTAATATTCGACGTGCGTGCAGAAAGAGAAGACGCTTCCACAGAACAGTGACAGAACACTATACTATACCGAACACTTCCGAGCTACACTCACGGAATTAGCCAAAGTCAGCACGGAATTAGCCGACATCAGTGTAGTATTCCTACGCCATGGTACTGCCCCCTTATATGTTAGCAGCTGTCATTGCATTTTGACATTTGTATTGAGATTAATAGTGTAATGGCAAGTAAAATATTAAATAGTAATGTAGCAAGTAAAATATAAATAGTAAAAATATTAACTAGCACGCGCGAAGCGCGCATCTGTAATGCTAGTTTTTAAAACATTTCTATAGAATTTTTAAAACATTTGATCAAAATACTTGAAACGTAATATACAAGCTTACTATATAAAAGTATATATGTCGGAATTTAGATACATCCCGACTCTAAGTCCAAATGCTGTAGCCGATAGAATAATAACGGCAATGAGATGTAATGAGAAATATGCCATCATTCCAGGCTACTTGCAAATTCTACTTAGTTTAAGGTGGTAAGTAGACGTTATTTTTTATTCTCCGTTATTTTTTATTTTGCCGTTTACATAAAAAATCTGTATAATCGATAAAACATAGGATATTCCCGTGGCCATGTGTCGCAATGTTTCTCCGTGGATTGGTCAGAGACGCTTCACCGGACCATGAAAATAACAAGTCGTATGCTGTTGAGGCTACGCCTGTTGCAGAAGAGGAATGTACCATACCGCCATCAAAGGATCAAAACGGCGGCGCCATCCATCAACAATTAACTAGACGTATCTCCAGCTCCGAAAGAAAGCCTTAAATTTTCTTGTTCCGTCTTGGTTTGTAAGACCGATTTAGAATGTATTTTGTCTCTTTCTATTATCTTCGCCTTGCGACCAGTACTGGCTCTTATTATTATAGTCATTCAATATATGTTTCGGATCTTTTACATGAAAAATTATTTCGTTGGATGGAAAATATAGAGCGTGAAATATACACAGCGTTGAATAGAAATAAGGGAAGGGGGGCAAATAGCGACAGGGGGCAAATAGTTTCACTTTAAATTTTTCCTCTTTCGCACGTCTATTTTACCACTACTCATCAATAGAAAGACAATTCTCAAGCATCTAATCATCTTCTGAAAAAACCATAAAAATCAAAATATAGCTAGCGGAGAAGTATAAAAATTTTGCATTCGTGAAATAAGGTAAAACCTGTCTTTTTTCTTTTTTCAATCTTTTTTTGATATTTGCTGAATCATTGAATGAGATCTAACCTATTCTATGTCAGAACGGTACCTTTTTTCTCCATTTTGATATAATTAATTCCTACATATGCTTGTATATTAATTTTATTTCTCTCAGTAAAGTTTTAAAGTAGCTCCTGGGGCAAATAATGACAATTTTTAGTTGGGTAAATAATGACAAGTCAAAAAGCTTTTTTAATATTTGAATATGATTTTCCTAATTTATTTGGGATAATATGAGATTAGTTACAAGGCAAGATCCAGAATAAGTGTGATTTTTAATCAGAAATACTAGCAAATAATGTTACTACTATTATTTATCAAAAAATAAAAATTTACATATGGCAGAATATAAAAATTAATATAAATTACCTTATTTAATCAAAATGTCAAAAAAAAGATCGATTAAGAGTTAAGAATTATGTATTTTGTAATTGTCCCTAAGGTGTCATTATTTACCCATAGGGTGGGGCAAATAGTAACAAATGTAGGTTTTAGTTTTTATGAAAATCTAGCCCGTATACATAACTTATGGAAACTCTAATTAAGTTTTTCGTATATTTGAAAGTGGAAAGTACGTACTCTTTCAGTGAAAAATCATATCTTGTAAACTGGAAATTAGCTTGTACCTACGGGAGAGAGGAAAAAATCCGTCACTATTTGGCCCTCTCTGCCTTACTATCCATTTCAACGAATAGAATTACACTTACACGGAGTTTCTTACTTTTTAAGCTTTTTTCACTGCGTCTTTAGTGATTGACCAATCGGTCAATTACTAAAAAAAGGGAGAAATTCGCTGCAAGTGCATTTTAATCCTATCAGAAATTGGATAACGCCTTTTGGATAAACGCTCTCGACATATCTATCTAGCACAACAGAAAAAGTTTTCATATATACGATTTCATTGAGGTGATTATATTGATAATTTCGAAATCGCTCCATATATTCAGAAGCATAACTTACTATTACGCAATTGATGAGCTTTCGATTGCGTATCACTTATTTCAATCCAGAAGCATAAAAAATACCTTGATGAAAAAAATTCTTACATCTCATATTTTTTAAGAATTCTTTATGTTTTAAATTTATGAAGATTTTTGAAAAAATATCTTAACTTCTTCACATCTAAATTTTTCTTCGAAAATATAATGAAAAATCTTAAAATATTTTAGAATTCACATATATGTATATATGTATAAGGAATTCTAGAAAAGATTCTAAAGAAGAAAGTAAACTTTTTCAATACTATTAAAAAATAAAATTTAATTTATATTTAAAAAATTTGATAATAAAACACTTTTTTTAAAGATATTATAAAATTATACAGGAATTTTGAAAAATTCTGAAAATTAAATGAAGAATTCCAAGAAAAATTTTTATCAGGACATGCATAACAGTTTTCTCGTAAGAAACGAGCACGTTCGCAATCCTACGTCTCACAAAAGCAAGTTTCCGTTCGATGGACCTGAAACTATTTTTACAGTCTTTAACGTCACGTAAAGTTTGATCTTTTTACTTAAAAAAAGTAATGGTAATACATAAAAACATATGGCGGAAAAAATGTGATACTGAACTTGTAAATGATGTCAGTACTAGATGTAAGAATAATATAAGGGTGTGTCTGTAATTTGATATACTTAAAATTGCAGAAACATATGTTACCATAACGTTAATTAAACGAACTGTTTAATGATTTAACAGAATTTATAAGGATTTTGTTTCTCTTATTTGTTGTTTTATATATGTAAGAAATATTTGCGTTATAAGAATAATATATATTATTATATACTAAATTTATTTAGTATAAAAAAATTTACCGAATGATGTACAATGCAATTTGCGCGCGATTTAAGTTTCAGTTTTCCAAAGTGTAGCTGTAAATAATAAATTATATTGAACCGATATTTGATATTAGGATGTAGAGTGTGTAACATATGTAAAGTTTACATTACGTTAATAATATATTGTAAACGCAAACTTTTAGATAGAATTATCTAAAAAGTATTTTCATCTAAGAAAAAAATTTAAATGAATTATTCATATCACGATTTTTCAAAACATCGTGTAGAAGTATCCTTCATTAGCAGGTGGTGCGGTAGGTTTGGGATACCTTGTATATAAAATATTATACATAAAATATACGGTGTTTTTGAACCTCTGGAACAAATTCTAGAGGAAGAATAGGTATTTTAGTAAGTCTCAGGTATCTTAACAACAATATGTCACAAGAAACAGGTATATATCTTAACAACATGCGTCAACTTTTATTAGATACCTGTGCCCTGTGACGTATTTTTAAGGAATTACGCGTCCAATGATACTAGTTCACGTCATTTGATTTTGTTTTTGCAACAAAAAACAAAAAAGCAATAACATGGACTAATATATTGTCAGATGTCATACGCAATGCTGCCTGCACGTGATCAATTGCATTATCTCATAATCAGTCTGAACAAGGATGCATAATTCTTTGAAAATGCATCAAAGGACACAAGTTCTTTAACAAAATTGATTTTTTTTGTTCAAATCATCTCCTAAAGTTTGTCTCAGTGGTGCTGAAACACCTTGTGCGTACGCGCGCGCGCGTGTGTGTGTATTGCTCTTATAAACTGAACATTATAATATTCTTAAGAAAAGAAAATTAAGAAAATAAATCACAATTTTTGTATATAAATTTTGTATTATATAATCTCTATATTTGTCCTAATAAAACATCTGCAATAGATACTCTGGAAAAAAATCTCATAATACCTTATATATTATGATATATTTTTAAGAATCTTTCATATTTTAAATATGTGAAAATTAAAAAAAAATAATTAAAACTTTTTTAGATTTTAACTTTTCTTTGAAAATTATAGAATTATAAATCTTAGAATATTTAAAATTTATAAAATTATATAATACAAAAATATAAAAAATTTATGTAAAAATTTTGAAAAATTATATGAAAAATTCTAAGAAAAATTTTCACCAAGATATACAATAAATTTTAGTTAAACTTTTAATCAGAATTTTTAAAAACTGATTAATCCTACGCAATGCCATAGTTTATAACTTTGCAAACATGAAAGTAAAATATGTTATGGTATGTTGCTACGGTATATTATTATTTTGTATACAAGAAAATAAATAATAAAATTATCTTACTTATCTTACTCGATCTTTCTTGCAATATTTAAAAGTATTAAATAGAGAAATTTGGCAAAATATGTTCGTTGAGAAAAATATATTATTCGCTTTTTTTCCCAATCCACAATCGTTCTTGTTTTTATTACGATTCTTTCGTAGCTATATTTGTTAAATAACTGAAAAGAAATGATTCGATAATTCTTAGAAATCGTGTACTTCTTCGGGCGTAATACGTAGCGTCGTTTCTCGTGCGTAAACGGATTAATACGAAAAGATTGACTTTCACTGGGACTTCATTGCTTTCTGCTTCGCGACACGCCGAAAGCTTTCTACTTTTCACAGTTATCGTGTAATAAAAAGATTCTTTAAGTGAGAGTTAAATTATTCTTATGTGTATTATGACATAATAAAGTTTTTAATACATATGTATGATTTTCGAAAGAAAGTTTTTACATATAGAAGATTAAAGGAAAAGAAAAAAAAAGAGAAGTGCTTCAAACATGAAACGATTAAATAGTCCGAAAATCTTGAAACCGACCGACGTCAAAAATTCAAACATGAGAATCGGGGAAACTATGAGATTTACTTTTAAGAACGGAGATAGTTACGAAGGAAAATATCAAGTAAACATTGACAGACGCACCTTGGTTAAGCAAGGTTAACATTTCATATATTTAATGATTGTGCGATTACCAATATACCTATGTTTCTTATCTAAATCAGTGAGTCACGCCCCGATATATGTATATTGGCATTTGATATCGCGATTTTTAGATCAGGGAGTGTACATAACTGATAATTTCGACGTATACGATGGTAAATGGTACAACGATAAATTTGGTAGTGATGAATTTCACATTCGGTGATTAAAATTCATGTTTCATGAATTAATATATTTTGATATAATAGAATGCAATTCTAATTCTGAAAATGTTGATACTAATAACGTCACTGTCTACGTTTATACAAGATATAATAATAATGCACGATACAAAGGGTACGTTGACGCGAACGGAGTGATGAATGGTACAGGAACGTATATTTTTCCCGATGAATCCACACTATCGTCAGTATGGTCTCAAAATAAACCCATCTTGAACATTGTTTACAAAAAACCGCTTGGATATGAATGGACAACCACATCAATTTCCGATAGCGTTTGTATAAACATGAAATCATGAATTAGTGGAAGTATTATAACAGTTTCCTAGCTTACATAGATTTGCAATTTTATTAAAAGCATTCTTATCATTTACATACAGCATGTTATGTTTACAACTGTTAATCAATTCTGGAATGAAATACATGAAGAATCTGCGAAAGAAAACTTTCCTTCTGTTCGACATTGATAAAATTAATATGAATCACAATTATAATTGCACAAATACGTAAAATGTTAATTAAAAATTAATTTATGATTTATTGTAGACATATATTTATATAAATTCTAAACATGATTGTTGTATTTACAGCGAAATACATACGATTAATAATTGCACATGTTTGCTTTTATATAAAAGTTTTTAATTAGTTTCAATCGTCCTTGTACATAGAAGGTACTCTAAATTGAGTAGTAGCTGGACGAAAAAGCGGATTCTCGTCTAAAGCGTAGACGGTTCTTTGCCGGTCCTGCTCAAATTTTACATATTCTCTACGATCTTGTACTGAAACCCAAGACCTAAGATAAAAGAATTCGGTTTATTCTTATGAATATAATAAAATTCAATGCAACTTTTTATAATTCTACTTTGTTAAACAATAGATTTGTAAATAGGTATAGTACTTACTTCCATATTAATAAACCGGTAACTCCGATTAGCAATATAGCGCCAAAAATGATTCCTGGAATGAACGCGGCGTGCATCAACGTGCGACAAGTCTATAAAAATCAGGAAAATTAGAACGAAGATTAGCAAGAAAAAATGTTATTATATTTAACGATGAAATATGTATATAATTTATAAGTTATACAGAAAAAACATTTTGTATTTGTGTTAGAAACAGTCCAAGTTTTTGTTAAAAATTTTGTGTTGATATTTTTAACATATTCGAGTATTAATTTAACATAATGTAATTATGTTATTTAAATATTTTGTGTTGCATCAATATTCAACATTTCTTAGTAACAAAATAACATAATTTAATTTAAGTAAATAAACAAATAACATAAAAATAATGTGTTTTAAAACGTAAATTTTAACATATAATAAATGTTAATTTTACTGAAAAAATATGCTTTAACAGTTTGCTTACAAATTGTATCAGTATAACATTTTTTGTGTTAATTTTTCATAATATTTATGTTACTTTTTAATATAGGTATTCATTTTACGTTAAATTTAAGTGAATTGTTGGGACATACGAAATGTGTTAAATTTAACACAAAT